TTGGAACCAACCCTCACGCATCCCCCTCCCTCCCCACAACCGTCGCTACCGGCCCCTTATAAACGTGTCTCCCCTGTACCCAATACGACACTGCGCACATGGCCCCCACCCCGCCAAACATGACCACCCCATAGTTCATACTACTTGTATCCACCGGCGTACCGGCCGGCCAAAACGACCAGAAGAACGCAAACACAGCATACGCCACGGCCGCCGCGTTGACCGGGACCCCCCACCGGCCGAGACTCCACATTGCTTTGGGCAGTAGGTCCGGCCGGGTGAGCCGGCGGTGCAAGACACAGCCGATGCTGACGGTGTAGCTAAACATAAGTGCCACGAGCTGCAGCGAGATGATGGCGTTGAAGGCGATGCTAGACCCGATGTTGATGAGTGCGAGCAGGCAGGTGATCAGGCAGGTCAACACAATGGAGTTGACGGGGACGTGCAGGGTCGGATGGACGGCAGCGATCCAGCGGTGGCCGGGAAACCCTTTATCTCGGGCGAAGGACCAGGTCTGCCGGGAGGTGGCGGCATTGTAGTCAATGTTGGCAGCAATGATGAGCAGGAGGATGAGGACGGTCAGGGCGGTGACACCCCGGGTGGAGTCCGGCAGGGCCTGTTTGAGGGCCCAGATGTAGGGGTAGTCCGTAGGGTCGTTGAGGGCGTCGTCCGGGGAGGTGAGGGTGAAGAGGTAGGCGAGGAGTATGGACATTGCCAGGATGCCGTTGAGGATGTAGGACCAGATCATGGCTGAGGGGACCGAGAGACCTGCGCTTTTGACTTCTTCAGCCATGTGGGCTATTGCGTCGCTGCCTGGAAAACATGTTAGCCCAGGACAAGGTTGAGGAGGGGGATAACTTACCAACGAGGCTGTAAATAGCAGTAATCTGCCCAATCATCAATGACAACCCCATCGAAGCCCAATTCCCGTCATTCGTGAACGTTGTAAACACATCCGCCGCGCTCACATGCGGCGCCAACGCTGCATACATAGCAACGAAGACCACCAGCAGGGCACAATGCATGACCACCAGGAAGTTCTGGCCCACCGGGAGCTTCTTCGCACCAAAAACGTTGGCAAAAAACAACACCAGTACCATCGAAAACATGAGCAGCGTGCCCTGCCAGTTTGTCGGGTCGTAGTCCGGGTTGTTGATGATGATAAGCGCCTGAATCAAGCTGCCAGTGAGATACGATCCCGACGCGTTGCCGGCTTGCCAGGACAGAGCCGACATCCAGCCGGTGAGGTAGCTCAGGGGCTTTTGGTACTTCGGAGGGGCGAATTCAGATACTGCGCTTGTTAGTATGTTACATGCCCGATCGAGGTGATCTCACCCCAGTGATACTGTCCCCCAGATGTCGGCGCCATCGACGCCATCTCAGCCAGAGACAGCATGATCAGCCCAAGCAGGAAGAAGGACCAGACAAACGACCACCAGAGCCCTGCCAATCCACCGTTGGTCAACCCCTGGGTGTTCGCTATGAGCAAATACTCCCATGTTGCCGTCAGCATGACCGTAAAGCTAAACGACGACACCCGCCGAAAGTTGCGCATCAGCTCCTGCTGTTTGCCCATCCGCCGCATATCCTTCTCGTCGCGCCGCGTGTACCCGCTGACAGACCGGCCCGTCGTCGCGTCGACAACCTCGGTATTGTCGTCGCTTTCGTAGCCGAAGTTCTGCTCTCGAGTTTCCGACTCCTTTTTGAGCTCTTCGGAGCTGGGGACGAGAGTCGCCATTGTTGGTGGTATGCAGTGCCTGTGGGGATGTTGGCTTTATTTCACAAGGTCAATCACAAGGTCGATTACCGAGACTTTTCCGATTGGCTTGGCAAATCGGCTTGCCCCCATATCAGAGCTTAAATTTAGCTCTGATGGCTTTTTTGGCGTGGGCAAATCGGCTTGTTCGGCGGGCATGGCTTGTCCTCAAATACAGCCAGTTGTTCCACTGTAGAATCAGTTTAAACAAGGTTTATATTAATCCAAGCTTATGTGTGTGTGTATGCTCCCAATGTTAGGACCATGGTCAATGGCACACTGGGTTGAACTGGCTACGAAATTGAGACTCCGCTCTCTGCTATTTTGTTGTTCCAAAAGCCACATAATCATCTCCCCGGGAACAACACCGCGCGCAGACCATGTTCCAGTGTCCGCCGTTAGGATTGTGAATTCACTTTGAATGGCAGTGGGAATAGTTGTTGAACATCCTGTGTCGGTTATTTGACGCATGACTATGCAGTTGAAGTATTCCTACTCCTACTCTAAAGTTTAAACATCTCAATTCGATTTTTCCATGCTCAACTGACTTCCCCACGCGAATTTTGAGACCACAAGCCAACCGGTCTTCATTTAAGGATAACTCTCATAGTAAGTAAAAGCCAGTTGGGAAGAAATGCGTGAACAGTGCAATATCTGCATTATGGCCATCCGAAGGAAATGGCTTGCCCTCTTTTAATCTTGCACACCAGCCAAAAAGGTCGTCATTATTGCATGAACAGACCTAAGTTTGGACCTCTTCTCACTCAGAACTTTTCCTGTATACTGGAAATGTGCATCTGCGAGGGAGGGATTTTATTACACTGAACTGGACGAGGCAGGTGTCGGTAGCACAACTTCCTATCTAGATATGGTTATTTTTTAGCGGACTCGTAGATGCGTAGAGATCTTAGCCGCTGGGTGGTCATAGAGTTATCTACAAGATATATACACCTGCAGCTTCACACATTTCGTGGAATCGTGGTATGGAAGCTTCCAATACTGCTCAAATGTTGAAATTGAGGGCGGCGGGTGAAGCCGACAAACCAGCGGGCTTTAATGAGCGTGAGCGAGTCAGCTTGCGCTCCCCAGATGCCCACCCACACCAGATAAAGCCGACTGGGGCGAAGTCGAGCTGTTTTCGCAAGCCAGAAAAAGGAAGGTCTGAAAAATGGCTTCCAGGACCATTCTTCATGAAGTCAACATGAGGCATATATATTCAGAGATGCATACACTGGGAGGATATGCACTAATTCCGGACCAGAACATGCTAAAGGTATCCAATGAATATTTACAATATTATTCAAGTTTGTGGTCCTGGAATATTCAAGACGACTTTTTAAATGTTTCTTGAATAATTGGGGGCAGAATATGCTAGAGATTTTTAAAGTTCCTTTCAGTTTTGTTGAGGATACCTTCAGTGTAATCTTACTCAAACCTTTCAAATATCCTGGCAGGGAATACCTGAGAGATCATTTAAATAAATCACCCATGTTTCATGGCAGAAAAAATGAAAGGTATTTAAAAGATGTCTCAAGTATGTTTTAGATGGCGTTCAGAGTGTGTTCTAGATATCTTTCAGTTTAACAGCCCCGAAAAAATGGAAGATTTTTAAAATTTCTTTTGCATATGTTTTCGATAATCTTCAAGATAACTTTCACATGTGCAGCCCTGAAAAACAAGATATTTAAAATAGGTTCAGGATACACACCAGAATAACAAAACTGAAAGGAACTTTAAAAATCTCTAGCATATTCTGCCCCCAATTATTCAAGAAACATTTAAAAAGTCGTCTTGAATATTCCAGGACCACAAACTTGAATAATATTGTAAATATTCATTGGATACCTTTAGCATGTTCTGGTCCAGAATTAGTGCATATCCTCCCAGTGTTGCAATTGGGCGAAAAAAAAAATCAAGTTGTAACCCTATCCATGCCTCCGGGGGGACTCGAACCCCCTTACATTCTACGCTTTTAGCTACGAAATTGCAATTGGGCGAAAAAAAAAATCAAGTTGTAACCCTATCCATGCCTCCGGGGGGACTCGAACCCCCTTACATTCTACGCTTTTAGCTACGGATTAAGGGCAGCCACCGTGGCCACGCAGGGTTGATATAATTTTTATTCAACCTGGGTTCATGGCCATCCAACTACTAGCCTTCGGGTGAAACTAAACTCGCAGGGAAGTTCCACGAAGCCTTTGTTCCAACGCGATGTTTATTTCTACCTTGACGGTGAAAAAGGAAAATGCTGTCACACTGGGGGCAATGACCATGGGCGTGGGTTCATGGCAGATGACGGACACTTGCCATTTTCTTTATACCCCAAAAATAAATGTCACAAGTAATAACACACAAAAATACAACGAACATTGAAGATATCTTCATTTACCATAGAAAGGTGATCTAGAAATTTTATACAAGTCTTTCCCAGAGCTCTGGAAGAGCTGGGGCACCCAAGAACATTTTATTTGACTGGGAATGGCGAGAAATATTTATTTTGGGTGGTGCACACTGGGACCAGCCAAATTGCGACCCAATCCTTCAATAGCATCAGTAACACTTACAAATATATTGAGGTAGAGCCTTGGCCATCTTACAACATATGTAAGCCAATTTTTCTTCCCGTTTCCAGTGCTTTACGGTCAGATCCAAGGTAATTTTGTGAGCCATCAAGTTTGATGTCTATTTTGGGCATACAAAGAAAGTGGTAACTGCCATGGCAAGTGTCGGTCATCTGCCATGAACTCGCGCCCACGGTCGTTGCCCCCAGTGTCAAGTGGAGAAATTCTGACTAGACAGCAGGTTATCCCGCCAGAAAACAAGGATGTGGTGTCACAAAAAAAAAAAGAGGAGGAGGAGTACACGATTTCATTTCCCGCTGTCGTTATTCTACTCCCTATTCTAGCATCACAATCTGGTTCAAAAAAACAGTTGGGTGATTCGAGGGAATCCACCCCCGTGTTCCTGTTGTGAATCGCACTTCCGCTTTATATTAATCCAGGAGTACCGCCACGGCTCTGCGTCTTTTTCCATGAATCATAATGTATTCATCTCTTTTTCTCTGGTAAATAAAATAAACAACAGGAAGACCAGCGACACATGCCTTCGAGAGGATTCGAACCCCCGCCTCCCTCTTATCGTATCCATCGCATCGAAAATCTATTTCGATATATACGGGTTCACGCAGGCTTATTTCTACTCTATTCAATCTCTTTATCTGGACAAAACAGCCATCAGCAACGTATGCCTCCGGAGGGACTCGAACCCTCACCTTCCACATACTCGAAACTTAATTCAGTACGAACCGAGGACGACCTCCATGGGCTACGAAGGCTTCATCCCATTATATTCAACCTGTATGACCTGCATCTTTGTTTTGCTTTCTAACAGGGAAAAATTCGGTAACTTTGCCCGTGCCTTCGGGGGGATTCAAACCCCGCCTTCTTCTTATTTCGTACTTTCTCAATTACGGGCTGAGGACGACCGCCATGGTCCACGAAGGCTGAATGTGATTCTTGCGGGGGTCGATACACGCCGCTTATATGGTGTGATGGAGGATGAACTGCGTGAGGACGACCAATTAATTTACTTACAAACATTGCAGTGGGAAACCAGTTCCGAATGATCGCGACAGGACTCGTTCCCCGAGCAAAGCGAAGGATCCAATCCGCTGTGGAGCGAAAGATCCCATGCACGGCGGACGACAAGAACCAAAACACAACTCACTCACTTAAGACCGTTCAAATTCCCGCGATGAGTTGGAATGCGGCGATTGAACGTAGAGCATTGCGCCGGGCGCTGAGCTTGAATATAATAAAAATCCGGTGACCAGTTCCCGAGGTGAGAATGGAATGAGCACGGTATGACCGACCGACCGAACGAACACGAACGCGCTCGCAGAATATAATAGTACTAATTTGTAATAACGGGCATATTCGGCGTTGCCTAGCGGAGACGCGGTCGTGCGCGAGATAGCGAGTCCGAGGCTGGCAGAAAGAAGAGAGGAACTAGGGAAGCGCATCTTTGTGGAGCGTTGGGGTTTACAAGCGGTTGGGGATCGTTATATAGCGTTCACCGGAGGTTAAACGTGAGCGAGCGTCCAATGAAGGATTGTACGTCAAAGCGTTGGACCATGTGGACGAGAACGAGGAACCGCAAAGTCTTCTGAGCTGTTGAGGGAGCTTCTCTACCTTATCAGCGGGATCTTGACGCCACCAATCGCTTTAAAAGAACAGTATAAGTGATACGATATAAGCATGTAAGAGTTGAGTTACGCACAACATGAGATTCCGGAATATCGAGACGCGGAAGCGTGCGAGACAGCGAGTCTTTCGTGGTGGAAAGAAGAGAAGGACTAGGGAAGTGCATTTTGGGGGGTTACAAGATCCCTCTATAAAGTTAAAAGCGTTCCACCGGAGGTTAAACGTGAGCGAGCGTCAAATAAAGGATGGTACTTGCGTCAAAGCGTCGGACCATGTGGACGAGAACCAGGACCAGCAAAGTCTTCTGAACTGTTGAGGGAGCTCTCTACCTTTTCAGCGGGATCTTGACGAAGATAAGAAATAAATAAAGAGGCAGGAGGAAAAGGGTCGTACCCATCTTCGTCACTTAGTTACTTCGCTTAGGAACGAGAAAGTCCGTCACTTTGATGGGAATGCGTGAAAATTCGTCACATTCCCTACTTTCTGTGAAACTTCGTCGTTTTGACTCGGCACGTTCAAGAACACGGAACCTCGGCCATCATTGTTCCTTCAGCGCAAGCCGGGCGTGTTTTTTTTATATAGATACCTTACCCTAACACTAACCACTAACCCTACCCAGCTAACCTGAATCTGAACCTCTGACCCAAACCACTAACCCGAACCGCTAACCTCTAACCGCTAACCACTAACCCTAACTAGTTAACCCGAACCTAACTGGCCGAGCTCGGCACACTGCTGATTGTGTGATGCGTCGACAAGCATGCGTTACGTTAATCCTTGGAAAGTGACGAACATTCGCAGAAATTTGCGTGAACTGATGAACATTCGCAGAATTCCATCAAACTCACTAACTTTCACAGAACTAAGCGAAGTAACTAAGTGACGAAGATGGCGTGGACTCGGGGGAAAGGGAAGGCACTGGAAGAACGATTGACATTGATGATGCGGTGAGAAGTACAGGACCCGGAGAAGGAAATAATAATGCGCACACATAGGCTCGCGAAGGGGTGGATTATAATTATAGCACCTGGAGGTACCGCGTTTGTTTGTTTTGGGCAAGGAGGGGTGGGGTGAAGTGTAGACACAAGGAGATGCAATGCTACTACGAAATGCAGCGTACGCAAAAGGCGAATGGAAGAGGCTGAGAGAGCGAACTTACTGATGAGCCAAAAATGATCATTGATGAATCGGTTCGACTCACGGGAAGCCTGCGCGAATCTTGTTCCAGTGGATTATCCACTGGAAAGGCATGGCTCGTTCTGCAGGGATGGATGTGTGCTCGATTTGCGGAAAACTAGGTGGGGCGGCAGAGATGGCGAGGAAAAGCGGAGGGCGAAGAGTAGGGAAGCAGATGGAGGAGTAGAACAAGTGGAGAACGACGAGAAAGGGCGGAAGACACGAAGTCGAGAACTCACTGGGAGCATCATGATATACATACGACACACACGCCGTCGATTTCAGTACCTTGAGGCGAGATGACGGAGGCTGGGAAGGGCGAGTAGAGTTTTTAACAGGGCGGCCGAGTTAGAGGGTATGCATATCGCTGAAAGAAAAAGGTCGGCAAGCCGTCTCACTGAAAAGAAAAGCGCGAGGATGAAAGCACGAGCATTAGAAAACGTACGAATGAGTAAACCGGCTCAGGCTTGCGACGGCGAGTCGCTATGTGGTGCTTCTCCGCGCGCTCCACCGCGGACCTCGAGGGCATGCGAGGGGGATTATTGATATCGGCGGGAGTGTGCGGCCGCGGTTCGGGGTGTGGAGGAGCTGTATCCGACGCTGGGTCCGAGTATGTGTGTGCTGTTCTTTCCCATGTGCGTGGCAACGTGATACTGACGGCCACAGGCGGGGGAGGCACGAGGCCGTTTATGACGTATGCGGAGAGAGTGCGAAGATAGGAGACGAGGGCATGCGAGGCGCATCGTTGCACGGGACTATTGATATCGGCGGGGCTGTGCGGCCGCGGTTCGGGGTGCGGAGGAGCTGCATCCCGACGCTGGGTTCTCCGACGTCTACGGGTGCGTCGCTCTTTCCGATCTCCATTCCGTGCGTGGATTGTATTTACAAGCGGGGATAGCGTGAATTCGAAGGAGGCCGGAGATTGATCTACGAAGAGAAATAGCAAGTACTTAGCAGAGGAGCGATTTCGCGAATCGCGGTGGTGGAAAGAGATCATTTTACGTGGGAAGCTCCGTCAACCGCATTTGGGAAAGCGTGGGTAACCCCGACTACGAAAGTGCCGACCCTACTCTTACCACCTAAACCTAGTACCCTTGTAAAGGGCTAGGGTAAGGGTGTATTTCGAAATACCCGGAGGTTGGGAAAACTCGACTGGCTTAAGTGATCCTAGCGAAGTAGAATCAAATATCCAATCACGAATGGCAGTTTGCCTTTCGGTGAATTATGTGTTATTGAAGGCACCACTGTACGGTATATTGGCCTACGGCGCTACTGAAAAGCGCGCAACTGCGATTCGTGGCTCGGTGTCAAAGAATCTGAGCTGTTGCCATCAAGGCTTACCGAAAGTTTCGGTGGCACTGACCATCTACCCGGTTTTCGGTGTCAGGATGCTATCATGAACCCGGATACTTCTATCCAGGAGCACATAAAAGCTTCAGGTACAGTGATTCATTCCTCAGTGCTGGCCACTTCTACTCTACTTCTATCCTCCCTCCACGCGGCACGTTGATCGTCCGCATCTCCAACTTCAACTTAGCCTCAACCAAGATGCGCTCCAGCTTTTTTATTATTCTTGCAGCTCTCCTAGTGGAATCATACGCGCTGCCTGCCACATATAGGACGCAATATGATGCAGCATGTGCCGATTCCGCTGAAGAGATAGGAAAAGGAGTGAACAACGAAACCCTTAACTGGCAAGTGTATTCCCGACACATGCCCGAGTCGAATGTTGACATCCTTTATCCAGTAATCCGTACGCGGGTGATTCAACTCCCCTGTCTCGCAGAGATGCCTTCAATGAAGACCTGCTCGCCCATGAAGGGCATTCTATTCCCGCATTCAACGACACCAAAATTCGTCACATTCTATCTAAACGTGGTGACAGCGCCCCCTTGAAGAGCTGCCATATTTCAGTCCCTATCGCCGCTTACACTTCGTTGAATATCAATGGTTATTATGATCTGGGCTCCCCTGCGACTTTGGATGGTGGGGTCGAAGCGTATACCGGCGAGCCTCCTCACTACACCTGGAAAACGTGAGTACCCAGCTCTATTACATATATTCGTGTACTTAGAGATCTTTAGCGCCGGCGGCATGCCCGCATTTACGACCGAACTAAACGTGTGTTTTTTTCTTCACTTGACTCGTTTTTTGCTCTGACCTCATCCAACGGTATAGGGCAATGTGATTTATGGACGGTAGGACAATTTCTCTATTTTACGGTCGCGCAGATACTGAGGTCTCCACGCCCCTCAAAGGGAACATGTTTATGTGAGTGGATTGCGTTTTTCTTCCGCCTGATGTCGCACAAACCAACACGGTTTTAGGAGCAGAGCATGTGTGAGTTTCGAGTCTTTGCCATGGCAACGATGTATTCATATGTGCCCTAGCGAGTCTTTTCATCGACTACCTTCACCAATATGCTGGTGTATTCTGGGGCAAGGATGGTGATTTACTTACAGAGTTCTGTCCCTGGGTCAACGAGAATTTGTTCGCCCTCAAACTTAGTTCCCGCGGCATACACTCAATTCTGCGCTTCAGGTGGAATACCCCTTCATACATGCCCTCTGGAACGAAGCCCGTCATTGCACAGATTGGCGTGTGTTATCCCTCTCTCGCCAACTCCAAGTCTGTAGGTATCCCAGTCTTGGAGCAACGTGCGAAGTGAGTTTTGAGTCCTTCGCTGTCTCTGCATCCAAACATTGATAATCCATTCAGTGAGTACAAACAATCGGCCTTCTATGTCACCCAGCAGAGACTCGACCCGTCCCTCTCTGAGTCTATTGGGTCGACCAAAGTGAGTGCAGTGCCGTTTATTGCCGACTTTCTTACCAAATCACAACTCTCAGCCAAATTCAGAGGCAAAACTCCTACGGAACAAATTGCAACGCTTCGCAGTCTGGCAATGATCACATGTTTAGTAAAATAGCTCCTCGTTTCGATGCGTCGCTCAGAT